GAGGTTCACACAATCAGGCATATGGCAGTTTGGGAAGAGGAAGAGGTCAAAGGTTGACAAAGGAGGAAAGAGCAAAGCTATATTGCACTCATTGTGGCTTTAATGGACATGAAATACAAGGCTGCTTCAAAATCAATGGATATCCAGATTGGTACAAAGAACTTAAGGAACAAAGGCAGCACCAAAATGTCAATATGGTTGAAAATGATACCCTATCCAAGGGGGACTCAGAGGTGAAATCTCAGCAAAGTGATGGATTGCCAGATATAAGCACATTGATTCAGAAAGAAGTGGCAAAATATCTGTCCAGTCAGCAAGAAACAGAAACACATACTTTTTCATACTTAGTGGAATGTTCAGTTGCTAAGGAAGACTATGCTTTATCATTACTTGATGCTCTGAGCAGGAGAAGCTGGATCATCGACACTGGTGCCAGCAAACACATTTGCTCCAACATGGAAATGGTGAGGAGAAGCTATGACACCTTAGCACCCATAGTTTTCAATCTGCCAGATGGAAGCAAGGTAAAGGTTTCAAAAATATGAGAAGTGTGTTTGAATGATAAAATTACTCTCAAAGATGTTCTGATCATACCTGAGTTTAAATATAACTTGCTTTCTGTGGGGCAATTGGTAGAGAATGATGATTTTCATTTCAATTTCAAGAAAAATGAATGTGAACTGAGAGGTTTGAAAGATGGTTCACCCATTGCTGTGGGGAAAATTATTGGAGGACTGTACATATTTGAAGATGAGAATTACTTGGTGAATGTGGCAAAATGTATAGACCATGAGGGAGTTGAACTAGAGCTTTGGCATAAAAGACTTGGGCACAGTTCTTCTAGGTGCTTAAAACATCTGCATTTTTTGAAGGGAAAATGTATAAACCAGGAGTTAGGTGTCTGTGAAATCTGTCATAGATCAAAACAAAGCAGATTGTCCTTTCCTCTTAGCCATATCCAAAGCAAAACTTCTTTTGAACTGGTTCATGTGGATGTGTGGGGCCCGTATCATGAGAATTCTGTGACCAACACATCATATATGCTGACAATTGTTGATGACTTTACAAGGGCTACTTGGATATTTCTCATGAAATATAAGGCAGAAACATACAATCATTTGAAGTATTTTTTTAAGTTGGTGGAGACACAGTTTGATAAGAAAGTAAAGGCAATAAGGACTGATAATGGGGGAGAATTCATCAACAAGGACATGCTTGCATTGTTAGGAGACAATGGTGTAATGCACCAAAGGACTTGTCCCTACACTCCCCAACAGAATGGAGTGGTAGAAAGGAAGCACAGATCGATTTTGGAGGTAGCTAGATCTTTATCTTTTCAAGCAAATTTACAAAAGGATCTTTGGCCATATAGCCTGTTAGCTGCAGTTCAAATCATCAACACATTGCCCAGTGAAAAACTTGGTTGGAAAAGCCCTTATGAGTTGCTACATGGCAGGCTGCCACCTTATAATATGTTTAAAGTGTTTGGCTGCTTGTGTTTTGCTACGAAGACAGGACCACACAAGAGAAAGTTTGATGAAAGAGCAGTTCCTTGTGCATTTTTGGGTTACATCTCAGGAATAAAAGGCTACAGAGTTTACAGCTTGGCAACTAAGCAGGTATTTGTTTCCAGAGATGTCATATTCTATGAAATGAGATTTTCTTTCTCAGAGGGATCAGAGGTTTCAGCACCAATTCCCAAAGATATCCCTTTGCCAGTTATCAATGATGTCAGTGAAGACTATGCTGAACTCGATGTAGAAGACACAGCATCTAAAATCATATCTGACACAAGAGTGAGCACAAGAGTAAAGAGACCACCTGGGTGGTTGAATGACTATGTGGTGAATACATTGTCCATTGAAAATAGCAAAGAAGAATTTGAAGCCTTTGTTGCTGAGATTGACAAAACACTCACAGAGCCAATGTTTTTTGAACAAGCTGTAAAGATAAGAGATGGATAGATGCCATGCATAAGGAGTTAGAGGCACTTGAGATGAATGACACTTGGGTTCTTACACAACTACCAGCTGGGAAAAGAGCTATTGGGTCAAAATGGGTATATAAAATCAAAAGAAATCCTAATGGCAGCATTGATAAATTCAAGGCTCGGTTAGTAGCAAAGAGGTATTTGCAAAAGGAAGGAGTAGATTTTCATGACAGTTTTTCCCCAGTGGCTAAAATGGTGTCTCTGAGGTTGATTATTGCAATAGCTACACAGCACAAGTGGGATCTTCATCATATAGACATCAACAATGCTTTTTTGCATGGTTTTCTTGATGAGGAAGTGTTTATGTTGCCACCAAAAGGATATGACAAGGCAAAAAAGGGACAGGTTTGTTTGTTAAAGAGGAGTCTTTATGGTTTGAAGCAGGCCTCCAGACAATGGAACATTGAATTCTCTGACAAGTTGGTTAGCTATGGATTTGTTCAATCATCACATGATCATTGCATGTTTTTCAAGAAGACAGGCCACCAAATTTTGTTGCTTCTTATTTATGTGGATGATGTGCTCATCACAGAGACTTCCTTATCTGATATTCAGCATCTCCAAGGCTATTTGAATGATCTGTTCACTATCAAAGATTTGGGGCAGGCTAGGTACTTTTTGGGATTGGAATTATTCAGAACAACAGAAGGTACCTATCTAAGTCAAAGGAAGTACATACTTGACATAGTTCATGACATGGGTCTAGACACAGCAAGAACCATGGTTACTCCTTTACCTCAAGGAGTTAACTTGTCTACCTCTCAGTCACCACCTTATTCTAATAATGAATCCTACAGAAGACATGTTGGCCGCTTACTCTATCTCAATCTCTCAAGAGCAGACATTTCTTATGCCATTCAGCAACTGAGCCAATTTGTGCAAGCTCCTACTCAAGATCACTGGAATGCAGCTGTTCATTTGGTGAAATACCTCAAAGATAATCCTACTTTGGGTCTCTTCTATGCAGCCACACCCTCTACACATCTTGAGGGGTTTTGTGATGCAGACTGGGGCAGTTGTGCTCTTACCAGGAAATCATTGACTGGTTATTGTGTGTTCTTGGGTCAAGCCTTGATTTCTTGGAAGACTAAAAAGCAAAAGACCGTATCTCGTTCTTCAGCTGAAGCAGAGTATAGGTCAATGGCTACAACTGTTTGCGAGCTTGAGTGGCTATCATTCTTAGCCAAAGACATTGGTTTGCATTTGCGGCTTCCTATTTCTCTTTGGTGTGACAACAATGCTGCTCTACATATCGCGGCAAACCCGGTATTCCACGAACGAACCAAGCATTTGGATATTGACTGTCATGTGGTGAGGAACAAATACAAGGAAGGTTTCATATTGCCTTGTCATGTGACTTCTTCTCTGCAGCCAGCTGATTTGTTCACAAAGTCTCTTGGTGGGGCTGATTTCCGGCGTTTCCTTTGCAAGCTGGGAATGTGCGTTAATCCTCACATTCCGNGTGTGTGTTGAGCTGTGCGAGCGTATGCGAGCTAATAGTGGATCGTGCATGGCTCTTGCATTTTATGTTTTAATGTTGCATTTTATTGTTTTGTTGTTTTTGCACTTGACTAATAGAAACGTGTTTACGTTTCTTCCTTTCTTGTATTTTCTATTATGTGACCCAGATGCTACGTGTCGAGCATTGGTTGGGCAGGGCCGTTTTTTGTTTTACATGCACGTGTTATGGCTGTACATGAACACGAGCTTAGTGTGATTTTTCAGATCTAGAATTTTGAACTTCAAGCTCTGTTAATGGTGAAAATGGTTGTTAAATTTTTTGGTTCATTCTCTTAATTTTTCCACAAAATCTACAGTGTGGCGATGAACAACATAGTAGTGTATATATAAATTTTGGATACTCAATTTATTAGAGGAAACAAATAAGATAATATTCTGTTAGTTTTTTAAATTTAGTGTATATCTGGTAGGATTTAGAATAATCTGTATGAAAGAAAATAGGAGTGGTAGAGTTTTCATCATATCAAACTCTAATTTAGTTAGAATTATGAAGGAAAAAATATGTTAATCAAAAGCAAATTTATTTTTTTCCAAATCAATTTAATGCACGTTAACTTTTGCTTAATAAACAGAATGATTGTCAAAGTTCCCTGGATGAAATAATGATTTAGGGTTTTGAATACTGTTTTTAATTATTATTTTTGAATTAATGCACGTTCACTTTTGCTTAAGATTGTTTTTCATTAATTCATGTTTTGAATGACATACTGATTGTATTCTTTTTTTTTTTTC